CGGCACAAGAACAGAGCCACAGACCAGTGGAACAGAATAGAGACTCCAGACATTATCCCAAACATATATGGCCAATTAATATATGATAAAGGAGCCATGGACATACAATGGGGAAATGACAGTCTCTTCAACAGTTGCTGCTTGCAAAACTGGACAGCTGCATGTAAGACAATGAAACTGGATCACTGTCTAACTCCATACACAAAAGTAAATTTGAAATGGATCAAAGACCTGAATGTAAGTTATGAAATCATAAAACTCTTAGAAAAAAACATAGGCAAAAATCTCTTGGACATAAACATGAGTGACTTCATCATGAACATATCTCCCTGGGCAAGGGAAACAAAAGCAAAAATGAACTAGTGGGACTACATCAAGCTGAAAACCTTCTGTACAGCAAAGGACACCATCAATAGAACAAAAAGGTACCCTACAGTATGGGAGAATATATTCATAAACGACAGATCCAATAAAGGCTTGACATCCAAAATATATAAAGAGCTCACACACCTCAACAAACAAAAAGCAAATAATCCAATTAATAAATGGGCAGAGTAGCTGAACTCCACTTCTCCAAAGAAGAAATTCAGATGGCCAACAGACATATGAGAAGATGCTCCACATTGCTTGTCATCAGAGAAATGCAAATGAAAACCACAATGAGATATCACTTCACACCAGTAAGGATGGCTACCATCCAAAATACAAACAAAAACAAATGCTGGCAAGGTTGTGGAGAAAGGGGAACCCTCCTACACTGCTGGTGGGAATGGAAATTAGTTCAACCATTGTGGAAAGCAGTATGGAGGTTCCTCAAAAAGCTCAAAATAGAAATACCATTTGATCCAGGATTTCCACTTTTAGGGATTTACTCTAATAATGCAGCAGCCCAGTTTGAAAAAGACAGATGCACCCCTATGTTTATTGCAGCACTATTTACAATAGCCAAGAAATGGAAGCAACCTAAGTGTCCATCAGTAGATGAATAGATAAAGAAGATGTGGTACATATACACAATGGAATATTATTCAACCATAAGAAGAAAACAAATCCTACCATTTGCAACAACATGGATGGAGCTAGAGGGTATTATGCTCAGTGAAATAAGCCAGGCAGAGAAAGACAAGTACCAAATGATTTCACTCATATGTGGAGTGTAAGAACAAAGTAAAACTGAAGGAACAAAACAGCAGCAGAATCACAGAACCCAAGAATGGACTAACAATTACCAAAGGGAAAGGGACTGGGAACGATGGGTGGGAAGGGAGGGATAAGGGTTGGGAGAAAGAAAGTGGGTATTATGATTAGCATGTTTAATGTAGGGGGGGTGCATAGGGAGGGCTGTGCAACACAGAGAAGACAAGTAGTGATTCTACAACATCTTACTAAGCTGATGGACAGTGACTGTAATGGGTCTTGTGGGGGCGACTTGGTGAAGGGGGGACCCTAGTAAACATAATGTTCTTCATACAGTTGTAGATTAATGATAACAAAATAAATAAAGATAATAAATAAAAAAATAACTGGGATGAATTCCCATAATCTGTTAAAAGAAGTTACTTTACCAAAAGATAAAATCTGTAAACCTGATTTACAAATATAAAACAATTTTTTCATTTTTAATTGAGATATGATTGACATGTAACAGTATATTTCAGGTGTACAACATAATGATTCTATATTTGTATATATTGAAAAATGATTGCCACAGTTGTCTCATAATTAACATCCATCACCACGCAGTTACAAAGTTTTGTATATGTCTGTGTCTGTGTATATACCATATTCATACATATATATATGTATTTTTTATGTAATTTTAAACTCAGGATCCCATTATCAGGTAAATAGATAACCAAATTATGTATTTCATACAATAAAATACAAGTCAATAATAAGAAAAGGAATGATTTCTTATAAACACAAAAATGAATCTCAAGAGAAAGAAGCCAGACACAAAATATTATATACTGTATGGTTCTATATTAAGTCTAGAACTGGCACAATCAATGTAATAGATACCTGATCAGTGCTTGCCTGGGGTTGGGGAGGAGGAGACATTGATAGCAGAAGCGTGTGGGAACTTACTGGTGTGTTGGAAATGTTCTATAAATTGTTTGTAGTCGGAGTTACTAGGGTATATACATTTATCACAACTCATAGAAGAATACACTCAAAATGTGAGCATTTTATTGTATGTCAGTTATACTTCCTTGAAATTGCTTAAAAAACACATCCTCCTCCAGGTGCTATTGTACTTCTCTGTTCCCTTTATAGAAAAAACTCCTCAGAAGAGTTATATATACTCTGTGTTCCATTTCTCCCCTCCCATTCTCTCTTTAAACCATTGAAGTTCACTTCCTTATTTCACCAAAATTGCCCATGTCAATGTCATCAATGACTTCCACATGGCTAAATGTCATGGCCAGTTTTCAGTCTTTCCCTAACTTGCTCGTCAGCAGCGTTTGTCATGTCAGTCGGTCTTCCCTTTCGCAAATGCTTCCTTTTCTTGTCTGTAAGGAAACCTTTGTAGGCTCTGCTCCTCCTCAGTCTCCTTCGCTGGTTTGTCCTTACTTCCCCAACTCCAAATATTGGAGTGTCCCAGAAATCCCTCAGACCTTCTCTTTCCCGCTTTCTGGTGGGGGACCTCACTAGGATCCTGGATTTTATATATATATATATACCTACACATTACTGAAGCATAAATTTTTATCTCCAGTTGAGGCCTTTAACCTGAATTCCAAATCTGATTTCCTAACTACCTACTCAACATCTCCACTCAAGTGTCTCAAATGGGCCTCTCAAATTAGCATATGCTAAATGGAATTACTGGTTTCTGAATTATCCTCCAAGAAAAAAAGCTTGCTCTACCCACAGTCCTGTCTCAACTAATGGCAAATTTTTTTTCTTGAGAACAAATTTTTATTCTAAAAATAGATCTCAGTAACAATGAAGTACACCAAAAACTGGTCATTATAGTAAAAAGAAAGGTAACAGAAATTTGCTTTAAATTTTTTTTCTGAAAAAATACAAAATTATACTGTCAGTATATCTGAATTATTCATTTTATGGATTAACCAAAGAAATTTTAAAATCATAGATTGGATTCTGCCTGCTATTTAGACATAGATCTGGATTGCTTTTATCTTCAGGTAAACACATTTTCAAGGAATGAAAACAAAATTGAACATTTGCTTAAGTAAGCATAATTAGGGATATGAATTTGGTGATTTGCATCAATCACCATTTCCCTCAATTTTTGTAGGTAACCAAAAAAACTGCATCAAAGTACTCCTATTTGAAAGTAACAAATTATACAACTTACATACAAAGAAAAGACATAACTAAATTATTTCAAACCCAAAGCACAGGAGACTTTAAAGGCATATAATGAGATTTAGTACTTTAAAAGTGGTTTGACTTCTTCAAAGTGCTAACAAACAAATACTCAAGAAAATATCAGGCCTGTACCTTCAGCACTTGAAGTACTGAAATGTCAAGAATGCAGGAGACAAAGTGAAAATTAGAAGGCCCTGGTCACTATAAAACATGCCTGAAGTACATTTTGTGAAAGGACAGCAATTAGGGCTAATTTAGTAACATACAACTCAGCTGCTGGCCCACATCTCTTTTCAAATTAATGTAAACACATGTGGTTCATAGTTCCTGCACACTGCATGTGTCACATTATACCTTACAACCATATTTTGGATAATTATTATTCACATTTGTCACTTTGACCATAATGCAAAGTAGAAATCCTTTTATATCAATATTCCTGACATATGGCATACTCTGAAAATCAGAAGCTGATTACAAATTACATTAATTCCTATGAAACATAGGTACATATTTGTTAGGACATCTTAGCTCTTTTGTATTATCAAAAATTGGTGTAACTTAGTAGGACTAAATACTTTTGTCAAAACCTGACCCTGAGTTTTGAATGCTGTAATATAAACTGTAAAACAGAACACAGTCCAAAATAATTTGGCTAATATTGGTGTCCCTACAATACTGTGATTTTTCCATCTGTTAACATAATGTCTCTTCAATAAGGAAACAAGAGGAGTGGTCTGAAGAATACCCACATAAAGATGCAGGAAGTTTCCTGTCTAAAAAATTCCTGTTTGAAAACTTGATGTGAATTTATTCCAAAAAACACTGGTATCTTGGTATAAAAATTGTGTTTCTCCAATCCTTGAGTAAATTGCAGTGTGTGAAGATGCAGCATTTTCATCCTGTGGCCTGAGGGGAGCCTACAATCCCTGGCTTGACAAACTGCATTAATCTAAGAGTTCTCACTACATTCTAAATGTTTTGGAAATCACATAAGAGTTTAAGTTAGGTGTGTTTACACTAAACATTTGTACATCTTGAAAGCAGCTCTACATCTCTTAATAATATTCACTAAGTATAAAATTAGTAGCTGAATATGAAATAAAACAATTTCCAGTGGTGACAGTATTCTCCCAGTAGCAAATAACCTAACTTTTTTAGTACTAACAGCTATGTCTTCATCATGTTAAACATCACAATTCACTGAAATTACACAGAAGAAAAAAGTTATATCAACTGCAATTGAAAGCTCAAAAGAATTTAATAAAAAATTTAACAAGTTAACAGGACTAAGCCCAGGTATTGTTTCTGGTTTTGATTTGGCGGGGCTGGGGGAATCCTAAACCAAGTACTCACCTTGAAAATGTAAAATATTGATGCTTAAGGCTGATTTACTTGTATAATTTCTCTTGTATGGCACTAGTAATTAGGGTGTATTAGACTCTGAACAGCATTAGTTCTTTGCACAACAATGGTACTCAAAACTCCTAAATGCACTGAGAAACTCCTTATTTGGATGCCCACATGACATTGTGCACCCTTCAGTGATGAGGTCTCCCAATTACTAGCCCTGACCAATGCCGCAAAAAAATGGGACAGGACTTGTCTTACTATATATTTCCTTAGAGTGAATATAACTCTTCCAGTAACTATGCTCTGAATGTTCACTTAAAAACCCAGACCAAACCTTTTTTACCTTTAGTAATCATCACAAATCTTTACATATTTATATAATACATTGTATATTATATGCATTGCCTGTTCATACTATTTTCAAGAACAGAATATTGTTTTAAATAATCAGCCAAAATTAACTGACAGGGCCCATCAGTCACGCTCTCCACTGATCTTTGGGTTCCTTAAATGATGGCATCATGTTCATCGATGGCTCTATACATTTTGCATCCAATGTAAGAACAGATAGAATTCCCAGTGTTAATACAATACCACCAACAAAACTACCAGAGTCAAACTTCAATCCTTTATTTTCTTTAGAATTAATAGTAGCTGTGATTGTTACTGAAGAAATAGATGTCCCTGAACTACTGGGGGTTGTGGTCACCTGGGATGTGTTTTGTGAAGCACTTGTTATCTTGGGTGTAGACTTTGAGGTGATGGAAGTTGTATTTGTTGAGACTCCTGGTGGTGTCATTTTAGATGCTGCTGTGGATTTCAAGGTAGTGACCGTCACATTTTTTGAGACCGAGGAAAGTGAAGTTGTAGATCGTTTGGCTGTGGGTGTCAAGGCAATGACTGTCACATTCTTCGAGACTACAGAAACTGGAGTTGTTGATGGTTTCACAGTGTTGTTGGAAGATCCCGTTGTATGGCTGGTAGTTCCTGTTGGCTTAGCACTGGAGTTTGCTAGAATCACAGGGTTCTTTGTGTTGGCAGATCCCTCGAGGTCGCTGCTGACCTCGGTGGCCTTCAGCAGCGCCAGCACCAGCAGCACCGCCCAGCAGCCTGGCGCGCCGAGTCCCATTGTTCCGAGAGCAGGACACGGCGGCCTCGTGGGTCCCCGACCAAGGCGCAGGCTGCGCAGGTAGGAACGGCCCTCCACTCACCAACGCCGTGCACGCCGCCCCTCCCGCCACCTGACTCCAATCAACTAATGGCAACTTTATCCTCTGGGTTTCTCCAGCTAAAAACCCTGCAGTCATCTTTGAGGCCCTGCTTTATCTTTCACCCCACATCCAAACCAATCCATCAGCAAATCCTATCCATTCTACCCTTAGGATATATTATTTAGACCACTTTTTACCTTCCATCTGTTAGCACCCTGTAACAAGCTACCATTATTTCTCGCCTGGATTACTGCAATAGCCCCTGATTGTATCTCTTTGCTTCTGCATTTGTTCTGTCTATAACTTCTCCTCAACACAAATTTTATTAAAAATTAATCAGATCATGTCATTCCTCTGCTCAAAATATTTGAATGGCTTTTCATCTCATTCAGTGCAGAAGTAAAATCCTATGATGGCTTGTAAGGCCCCACATGGTAAGACCCTTTCTGATCTTCCTAGCTTTTACCTGCTCCTTTCCAGCCACACAGGCCTTCTACCTCAGGGCCTTTTCCATGCTGCTCCAACTGCCCGAAATCCTTTTCTGCCAGATAGCTTTATGTCTTGTTCTCTCACTTTCTTTAGGGATCTTTTCAAATGTCACTTTTTTAGTGGGGCTTTTTCAAATCATAAGACAGCACCTGCCTACCCCCTACTCCCTCTCTCTTCTTCCCTGCTTTACTACCACTATCTAGAGCACTCATTGGCCATCTCACTTACTTTATATTTACTTCTTTATTTATTGTCTGACTCCATATCCACCATTCCCTCCTTCCTAGAATATGCTTTTCAGGAGGGTAGCAGCTTTAATACACTCCCAATAAGAGTATAGTAAATATTCATTTAAATAAATGGATGTTTGCCCATAGCAGGATTTCAATAATTTAATTACACGAATTAATAAATTGAAGATACTCATCCCTGGACCTGAGAATAGAAGTGAAATGTCTAGATATGCAATTTCAAGTGTTGGAAATATGCGGACAGCCTGCTAGACCAGATTTCCCTGAGGTAAGGAGGGCAAAGGAACTGGAAAGCTATGTAAGCAATACACTCACTTAGAACTCAAGACCCAGGTCAGTCCTTGTGATTCTAACAGAGGTAACAATCATCAATGGAAGGTCTTCCAGAAAGGCAACTTTTGCACATTGAAATCAGTAATTGAGGATCAGTGGAAATGAATAGAGATTCCAGCTTTCATAAGCCCCCACTAGCCAAAGCAATTAACTACTATTAAAGGACACGGGAACTTCCCTCCCAGAAAAAAAAATGTGTCCAGGAGGTATGATCAAAAGTCATTTTAAATCCTTCTGTCCAAAAATTGAGTTTGGCAGAGTCAAATTTAAGTATAATGTTAGAGAAGATGTGTTATATTTCCACTTAATTTGAAGATTGCAAACAAAGCCATAATGGAAAATTTGGGCGGCATTGGTCATTTTCATCCAATAGATGGAGCTAGAGCAGAAAGTAAACAGTCTGGCAAACAGCAAAACCACACAGAAAAGGATTCAGACAGGGAATACACTGCGGATTCCAACCCCCAAAAGCCCACTAGGCATCCAGCTGGTGCGTTCTCTCTGGTCGGCTGACATAAAGGGAAGAAAGCGAGCCTGAAATGAACTCATAAAATACACAGCAGGGCAAAGCAATGTGCAATGGAAAGAAAACAATTCTGATTTTAATCTGAACACCAAGAATTTGTTTTTGCAAATGTGCAAAACTTTGAACTTTAGGAATCTAGGTGGGATGGAAATGGATTTGTGACACTCTTTGGATTACAAACAGAAGATTAATAATTACATTAAAATTGTAAGGCTAATCATTGTATTAAAATTAAAGCCAGAGGCTGTGGTTTTATGGTGAACATATGTATATTAGAGGGAGAGAACGTTTTTAAAAAGTAAAAAAAGTTTGTAATTCCCCCAGATTATTTATTTATTAATAATCAGATACATAGAGTAATTAAGATTTCTGCAAAATTTGATCTCTGGGATGCTAATAAAGTTTATTGAGTTACATATGTTGGATTGTAGTTTGTGGATGCGCTTAGTGCTCCACCACTTTTAAATGTTCTTCTTCACATTATCATCAGAACAAACCTCAGAGACAGAAATTGACAATTAGCCCATGATTCATGGGACAACTAGTAAAAGAATGATCCTGTCTTATGTCCCCCTACTTTTGTTGTAAGTTCCTGTCAGTTACCAAGAGTCTTTTGAATCTTTGAGCAGGTTTTGTGGGTTTGATCAAATAAGGACACAACACATTCCTAGAGAGGGAAGATCTGTGCATTAAAGAGTGGGAAGACATGGTGTGGGTGAAGACAGTGGCAGGAAGGGGAGCAGGACTAAGTGACCTTGGATTCACCTGGTGGCAGGTAGCAGGGCTCCTGATGCTCCATCCCTTCTCTTTATCACCCTGGAGGGAGGAAAGTGAAGGGGAGCAGGACCAGGGAAGTCTCAAAGGATTGCTGCACTGCATGAGGACCTCCATGGATGTAAAGTGAGACCTGTCAATTAGGTTGTATGCTATTCTTCTGCTACCTTGATGAGAGCAGACATGGAGCAGGGCAGACAACTGGATTTAACAAGGTTGGGGTTGGGCCAAGAGAATGTAAATACCATGTGATGGACAAGGCAGCTTACAGTATATTCAAGGAAGTGATTATGAATGGCCATTGGATTTAAGTGGGATAAGGAGGTCAATGAGGATGGAAAGTCACAGGACCATCTGAGCCTTTTCTCAATGACCATGCTATAGAAGGACACAAGCCACAAGAAGACAAGATGGAACTAGCTTGACCTGTTAGCCTCTAACAGTGAGTAGAACCCAATCTCTTTTGAGGCACTGATTTAATTGCTTCAGTCTTAAACAGCTCTTGGCCCCACTGACTCATTTGCATCCTCTAGGCTGCAGTGAAGCCTTCCATGATTCTCCAGCTAACATTGGTCCTCCTGCTGTTCATTGTTACACACCCTGTTTATTTCATTCGTGGGCTAATCAGCATCTGTTATTATTTTATTGATTTGTTTACATGATCTGTTTTTTCCCTAGGATATTAGCTCCATAAGGGCAGGGATCTTATCTGCTCCATTCCCTACTGCACCCTCAGTGCCTGGCAGAAAGTCCAGCCCACAGCAAACATTCACTAAATAGTTATTGAATGAATTAATTGATATTCAGGGTTGTCTGAAGTGCCAGGTACTATACTAAGGTTTTTACATACATTTTCTCATTTATAAACATTTACTATGTTTATATACTATGTTACTGTAAACATTTACTGTGGAAAAGCTAAGGCTTAAGGAGGCTACATAATTTGTCCAAGGTCACATGGCAAAGCTGAGAATTAAAACCACATTTTTCTGATTCTAATATCTCTGCTCTCACCTGAGCAACTTTTGAAAGTAAATAAATATTTTGTAAACCAAACAATGGTGCATTATGCTAAGGTTTTCACAAAAAAAGCCCAGGAAAAAAGTAGGAGATGCAAGAAAAGTGGCTGTGGCTCTGACCTTTGTCACTGCCGTGGCATTCGCTCATGACCAGGCATTCTATGTACTTCAAAATGAAATGTGCTTTCTGATAATGGGTTCAAATTTCAAAAAGGGAGAAGATGTAAGATCTTTAAGAGCCTTCACCTCTTCTTTTCCTCTCTCTCTTTTCTCCTTTCTTTATCCACAGCTCATGCTCCCTTCCAACACACTCCCTCCTTTTTTTACTCCTTGGGCACACTCAAAGCAAAGGTACAGAATCACACTGAGTTTTTGTGCAATTGCAAGAGGAAAGTTCTGGTGTTGAAACAAGTGTAAGATAATCAAATTTAGACAAAAAAGGATAATTGGAATGTATTCAAAGTACACAAAAATCTAGATCACCCCTAAGAAAGATCTAGGATTCCAGAGACGTATGTGTCCATGTGAGTGGGAGGCAGAGTGCTCAGGAGCAGAGAGCAAAACCGAACGATGATGACCCATGTATAGAGGAAGTAGGTGTGACATACACAGGCAGCTTATCACATTAGTACTTGGGACAAAATGTGATTCAAATTCTGTCGTTCTATTAATAATATGAATGTCACAGTTAAGACTGAAAGTAACAGGTGAATAGAAATGAAAGACCCAGCTTGAAATCTCAAGTTTTCCAAAATAATATTCTGTTTGCATCTCCTAGCATTGCTGCAAAAAGTGCCTCATACTAAATTGAGGAAGGAACTAAATTACAGTGTTTGAAAGTGAAACAATTACCCTGACATACTTGAAATTTTCCTTAAATAAGTCAAAATAAGGTTGAGATAGAAAAATCCTTTTTCACAGCCTGCACAGAAACTCCCATAGGGACAACTGGCTATTTGCCTCCACATGCACCACAAACGGTGAAAACGTGAACATTTTGCATATATTCAGGCTCCGGTTGAGGAGCAGCCAGGCCTGTGGTCCCTGTTGGCTGGGGGCCTAGTTGCTTTGTCTTCTTACCCCCACTGCTTGCATGGCAGTGACAGGCTGGCAGGCCTCACAGTGTGTCATTCCTTGCAAGGCTGGGAGGCCAGAGGAAAGTAAAGGTATCATTGCCTACCCCACACTGATGTCCCACCGCTGCTGGTCCATAGGAGCAATGCTAATTGCCTCCAGTACTCCATCCCGCTGGGTGAGGCTGGGCTGCTCTCATCCCCTCAGGAGTGATGCCAGAGAAGGAGCTTTCTGCTCCCCACACACAGGTGGCCATGTCACTCCCACTCTCCAGGCCCAAGTGAGCAAAGGCAATTTCTGCAAAATTATATCTACTTACTTTTTAATTTCCTTTTTCATATTTTCGTATTTATTACAGGAAAATAAATGTGAGTATTTAAAATTTTTTGCCCTTAAAAATTAGTTACCTTTGTTTCCTTTCAGTGGGAATACATAAAATACCCAATACTTAATGTTTGGGATAACAGGGAAACTCCATTCTGAAACAAATTCCAACTGGATCAAAGATGTACATGTATAAAATGAAATCTAAGGGT